ATCTCTTCCCCTTTGGCTCATTCATAGTTATTTAGCAGTTACCTTAACACCATGTCGACAAGCCTTTTTGGATGAGTGGCGAGGTCAATCCACTTGTCAAACAAAATTAGTCTTATGATATAGACATGCATGACAAATCACTAGGCCACTTTGCAGTCGTCGGTTCTCTCTTACACCCTAGTCTTTATTCCGTTACCCTCGAAAAGGAATTTAGAATTCCCCATTTAATAGAGCATTGTGGATAGATAGCGACTTAAGTACTACTTAAATGCTGGTTCACCCTCTGTCACCTCTGCATTCTAACAGTCAGTTTATTCATTCACTAATGTAATTTGTTCGGTTTTTTAAGTGAAGAGACCGGAAGGTTCAGTGTCTCAGGGAGCATTAATACACCCACGCACTTCAAATTCGAAAGCTTTAAAAGCCTCTAAGGTCATCCTACCCGCATTTTTCATACACTTCGTTCTTCTTTCCAGACATACTTCGTCTACATCGAAACTGGTAATCTATGTGGTCGGAGGAGAAGGGGAGGGGAGAGGAGAGTGGTAAGATGGCTAACTTCCGTTAGTCTTGGGACCCTCTTCATTTAACCCTTTCATTCGCTTTTTCTCCCGCCCCCCCCGCCCGTCACACGATGAACAGTGGCCATGCCAAGATCCTGTCACTCGGTAATCTACTTCTGATTTTGAGCGATAGTGGGGGCTAGGGAAGAGTTCAATCAAACAAAGGTTCAGATTGTGCCAGTGTGTCCCTTTGTTTATTCAATGTAGACAGGGGTTGCAGCTATCACCATCTGGGGATACTTTATTGTCCTCTCCCTCCTCATCCTCTCTCCCTGCCCCCTTCCAATTCCTTTTACCGATGTTCATTTGTATGGAGTGGGAGCATACCCGCACAGACAAATGCGGTCAGTGTTGCATGCTTTGGAGGCCTTCATTTTAACAAACCCACCACCCTTGTCTTCATTGCCTTGTCAATTCAACCGCAGAGATGAATTTGACCTTTTAAGATGTTTTAAAGGCTGGCATATTATTTCTTCTCCTTTTTTGACAGTTATGTTTGGCGACCTTTATTAAATGCACATAAGAAACAATTGATATCTCATGGCTTCTACTTTAAAATTGACAGCATGAAGAGAGGAACCTGGGCGCACTTTGACACTCGGAAATAGACTAATTTTTAGGACAGAAACGACGAGCCCATAGAACGATTATTTTAAAGAAGAGCCGAGAAGAGAAGCCGAGAGTATCCTCCCTCAAAGAAATGGCCTGCCTGGTTATAACACTCTTTCAACAAGACGCGGTATTCAATCATCGTTCTGTGTTAGTGAAAAAAATGGAAAGTTGTCTTCACGCGCAGTGTGCAATAATTTCGAGCCTGTTAGTGTTCATTTGTGACTGCGTTGCATTCACCCTTGTCACAGAAGGATTCATCTTGTGCTACGCGCTCAGGATGGATGCTGGCGGAAGGTAATACTTGTCGTCAGTGCCACGAGGAAGAAAAAATCACCATGGTTTTGTTTGCCACTGACGTGCAAACGCATGGCTGGTCAGCCTAGCAGCCAGCCGGCCATAAACCCGTCCGTCTGGCTGTCCACCCATTTGCCTATCTGTCCACCTTTGAAGCGTTTGCATGAATAGAGTGCGTAACTAGCGGGTGGTCAGACGTCCCATTGTCGCGGTGTATTATTTTCGAGAAATTCAGTAGATGTCCGCATGTTGAACTTGCCAGCTTCATTCACAGGAGGGTTGAATCATCACTGAGCGCTGTTGCATGAATGTGTAGATCCACGCTCCCGCTTGCCGTCTTCAGTAACAGTAAATAAAACTGGATTAGACTGGATCTGAATGGATTACACTAGGCGGGTCGAAATATGATATGTGGGGTGGCACACATGCAACTTGTCACAGGGTCCGACAGTGCCACAGCCCCGACAGGACTCGAACTATTTTAATTGAAATCAGACTTTCAAATTCGTAAATTGTCTCAAACATACCACTGAAGTCGGCGAGACTTATAAGTAGTGTACTTTGAAAAAGCAGAAGGAGGACAAAATGCTTTTTTGCTCAGAAAGTGCTTTGAAAGACCCATCTTCCCTCACTGTCACTCAAGTGTAATTGAACCAATGCCAACATAGAGAAATTTTGGTTAATTAAACCAAACTAAACACACGCATACGAGCAGATAGACAGCCAAGTGTAAAGAGAGCAGAGAGAATAAAAGAAAGAGAGCTGTTCGAACTTGCTCCTTCAAGTCGGTCACCAGGTCGATGCTACGACTCCTGTCCGTTTGGTGGAACACCTCAAGAGCGCTGTGCCTCCCTCTGAGATGTCACCTGAACTCCAGAGGAGCCAAATTCGTGTTGAGGCATGGAAGAGCACGGCGGTTACTGTGGTAGAGGTGGATTCAGAAGAACAGCTACGGTAGCGAATTGGCGCTAAAGCGTCCAAAAATTAAGCCAAAAGTCGTCTCCATTGGCTGGTCGATTGCAGTTCTGTTGGTGCCTGTCTCGACTTTAGAGGGTTATATATGGTGAGTAAGCGAGTTGTCGGTATTAAGTCACGTTGGCTGGCTAAACTGGGGGAGGGTACATTATGCTGTTTGTGCCAGAGACCAGAAAGGATTTTAAAGCACATATCAACTCTTTGTTCCAACCGTCAAGTAGCCGCCATCGATGGTAGACATTTCAGTATTCGGGAGGGATGGCTTTATTTACCAGCGAGAGGCTTAAGAGAGGGTTGTGGAGCTCATCACCAGAAATAGGCTATAGCAACCTCTCGACTGTTGATTAATCGGTCACTCAGAGGGTAATAAGTCATGTTCAGGGCCGCACCTTGTCACTTCATCACCACTCCACACTGAGGCAAAACCACGTCATGGTTCCCCAAGTGATGTGCCAGTGATGCCACAATTACTGCACACACAAATCGGTTGAAAAAGGCGACGCGGCTGAACAAACCCATTTTACTGGCATTAACATCAAAGGACAGTACTTTCGCCTCAAAGGCAGATCACCGACTTGTCTAATGCCACTACTTCTCCTCTTCGCACTGCCTCAACGCACCCTTGCAAGAGGAGTGTTTACCCACTGACCCACCGACTGACCGAGTGACTGCACACTTGACTGACTCGTAATGCGCCCCACCTTCTGTGCTCCAACGTTCATCACGCCAACGAAGGTGCCTGTGTTTATCGCCAAACAATCGACTCACTGTACATCAAACACCTCTGCGGCACGCACCAATTCATCCCCTATCCCAAAACATTACGCTTTCTCAGTCTGTCTATCTGCCTGTCTGTCTGTGTGTGTGCGTGTATGTGTTTATGTGTGTGGTGCAATTCACATACAACTCTTCACTGCCACATGTTCACACACTGATGCTCAACCACTCACCACTGATATCGTCGCGCTCGATGTCGATACAGGCGTGCTGTGTGAAGCCACATCTCCTTCCACAGAGACGGTCAGGACTTGACAATGAGCAGATAGGAGGCGGCACTCTTGAAGGTCAGTGCGAATGCCGCAATTTTATGGCCCATGCCTCAAGGAGGCGCAAATCTTACCTGTGAGAAGACCTCACGCCATACTTTCGGAGGAGTGGGAAGGGGGGAGGTTAGTACACACCATCTTGGCCTCGTCCTTGTCCTCGGCCACGTTCACGTTGTCCACAATCGCCCAATCACATTGCTCTAGATGATGGCTGTCACCTATTCTTGTTATTTGACAATCACGACGTCAGGTAGGAGATAGAATAGGCGGTTGGAAGATGAAAGGGATTGTGGGAGCGGTGACAATTGGTGGTTGTTTCAATCAGGAGGTAAGATGCTTTACCAAAGTGGAATGCACCGACAGGCGTCTTATATCCCAATGGACAAGGACACCCGAGGATGGATTTGATTGGTGGTTGCTTCATCGATTCGAAGGGGTCAAATGAAATACCATTCCTTTTTATCATCACGAAAATATAACGTAAGTTTAATCATCTTTCAGAACTGACCACTTGAACCACTTAATAAGGTTTGCAAGAAAAACTCAACAAGAGGAAAATGTGGGATAAAAATAGTGAGAAAAATGGAACGAGACTTAACTAAGCAAGTTGTTTTCTTCCCGAAATAGTCTTTTAAAAAGCACTGCTCCATTTTTGACATAAAAATTGATAAGTGAGTGGAACGATGCTTAAAATAATGCATGTGCTTAGACAAGTGGAGGGAAAAAAGTTGATGATAATCATGTACCCCCTTTTGTAATACCATCTGTTTCACTTTGACGGTTGGATTGAGAAGGCTAATTTAAAAGTGTCTCACCCTTTTTCACCACTGCCCTAGTGCTGATTAGGTTGTCATATTATTTTTCGTAAGCAGGGGTATTAAAATTTTGCACTCTTTTTGAAGTGTATCACTTCTATGTTGGGTAACCAGGAAGGTTGGCGTGGTCTTCGGTAGTGGCGCGCTCCGATGACCTCCTGCCACTGATGGAGACTTGCCAAGTGCATACAGCTGTTTGTAGGTTGAAGTGCCTATCTGCCTATCTATTCATGCACCAACCTATCCAACCAGACCTGATGGTTGGGAATTGAGCAAGTCTCTCCTACGAAATGAGGTCAACTCGATTTCGAAGCTGTAGAAGCTTTTTGTCAAATAGCAACTGGAGACAAGGTCTAGCCCACGACAGTGGAACTTGCCACTAGTAGCGGTTTAAATCAACAATTTGGTTCTAGTGATTAATTAATCATCCCAAGTTGGATGCGTCACTTCCAAAGAGATTCTTCATTCTTAAAAGGGCTAAATAATTGCGTGGCATTCGAGAGTGATGTGCCAAGGGCATGCAGTCATGTTTCACATGATTGATGAAACAGTTCGTTTGTAGCTTCATCAACTGGGAAAGTCGAGGTGAAAATCAAGTAAGTAGGTCCCACCCACACGTATTAGTCATAGACGGTGGTCAATATGCCTCAAAGACTATCACGCTGCATAAATTTGCCAGTGGATAGGGACTGGCTATGAAGTGCGACGAATTTTATGCTAAAGAATTTGAAGGAATAGCAAAAAAAATTACCGGTTGTCCACAAACAATCCACTCACTTCATGCCCAAACTACGAGACTTTGTGGATGTGTAGTGCTCCAAAAGTTCACTTGTTCAAACAGATGACACCTTGGAGTATGTCCAAGAATATCTACTACTTCAAAAATTATTAGGGCATGACGAAGTAGTGTCACTTTGTAACCCATCACGGCTGTAAAACTTACCTGTGACGTGTCGTACTGAACTCTAGGGTGGGTAGTAGTGTGAGACGGAGGGTAATGCAGTCTCATCCTCGTCTTTGCTCTACTAGGTGACCGCACAGTTGTCATCACCCCGCTTCAGCCACCTCTGATCAATCAGTCTGTCCAGGAGTGCCTGAAGTATTCACGTGCTTGGTGCCGATAATCCTGTCCATAAGATTTAGCGCGAGATCGAATCCTCTTCTCCTTTTTTCCCCTCACCTTCAGCTCTTGGAGAGCAACGGTTGCTAACGTATTCTAAGACCAACTGCCTTGTCAGACATGTAATAGTCACATGACACCCTCAGACATGAATCATGGCATCTTTTTCTTCGCACTGTTTCTAATGGAACTACAAAAAAGTAGGCAAATTTTTAGAGATTATTAGACAGATTCTTAGAAAAAAAACTTTTGTACTGAGTGCACTAGACCGTTAAAAAAAATTTTGTAGTAAAAAAGTCTGAGAAACATGGAATTCACTGCAGTGGCTTGACCTTTGTTTCAACGTACAACCGATGGCCCAAGCTTTGTGTTCCAATGCTGGCAATGAGATTTAGAGAAGAGTTGAGGCTAAGGCGAGGAGGCTCCAGCAATGGGTGATTGGTTCTTTCCATAAACCTGTCCCTCATACACGCAAAAATGCCGTCAGGTAAAGTAGGACAACCACTATCTTCGACGTTCTTCTTTTTAATTTTTAGGTTACAGAGAAGTTGTCAAAAATACGTATTCAGCGATTCTGCTAATCTTGACCCAAGATTTACTCGGGTTGCCAGAATGGCCCCATGTACCATCTGTATCACTTGTCTAGTGGTCAAACATTTTCCAAACCGAGGATCCCAACTGTCTGCACTGCTTTGTGGTTAAAATTTAAAGAAATTCAAGTAATGGAATATCAGAAAGATATCACATCTTAAATACAGGAATGAAGGGATCCGATTGCTTTATATGTCATTTGACAAATTTTGGTAACTCTTACAAGTAGCAGTTAGCCACTGTGGTGATCTAAACCGAAAATCCCACAGTTCTTGAATCCCTCAATATGAATTTTGGACGTATTGTTATAAATACCTTGAATATTCGTCCAGATTGAATGGATCTAGATGGTGTGAAGCAAAGGAAGAGCTCCATTTATATCATCTGTGGGCACTTCTAGGTGATTTGGATGGTATAGGGGGAAAATGACCACGAAACACTGCATATCAGATCGCAATTTGCCCTCCTTATTTCACTTCCCTTCACGAGCTAATCACGAAGCAGACTATCAACTGTTATCCACTCGCCTAATTACACACTGTCAAACAGGGCGCAAATAAACACACGCGTCTCCACCACCTCCATCTTCCGTCTTCGAGGCTTGAAAACACACCACATTCGTATTCTCAAGCCTGCAATTATAGAGGTAGCAAGAAAAGGATAAGGGAGAGGAAGTGAAGACGTTTTTGGTGTTTGTGTATTTGTGTGTGTAAGCGTGACAGAAGGGCAGGGAAAGAAGGGGGAAGAAAGTAACAGAGAAGGTGCATCTTCCTCTCCCCCTTTCCACCCCCCCTTCCCCTTGCCTCCGAATTTGACAATCCACGCGCGGAATGAAAAGACATCTGGGTTCTAATCAAGCGTTCCGGCTGGCGAACAACACATGCCTACATGCGCACGCACAAACAGGCGCAGTCACACACACACACACACACGCTCGAAACGAAACACGTGGGCACTTGACAACACCGCGCACTGCACCTCACTGCACCGCACCGCATTGGGTATGAGTAAATAAATTTCGAATGAATACAGAGAGGGTGGGGGAGGGAAGAGAAATGGAGGGTGGCGAACAAGAGTGCGGGTTGGCTCGTGATGTGGGGGAGGGGGGAAGGCGTGTCAAAGGGAGATGTTGTGTTGGGGACTTTGTCTCTCTCGACTTTAGTAATCAGGAGCGCGCCGTTCATCAGAGCATGGTGGACAATGTGTGAATCCTTTTTCGAGGATAGTTCATGCACATACTTCTTGATGAGTTATTGAAATCTGAAAGGAAGGTAGCATACCTGCATTTGAGTACCACAGAGGTCATATCTCTCTGATCTTATGAATAGCTGACCTCAGTTAACTACCTCAAAAGGTCACGAGATGGAGGTTTATGAACAAATTAATTAATGGTTGGATATCTTTATGGTCTATTTCTTTGTTCTTTCATGAAGGAAAGGGAGTTATGTCGCTCTACTTCATCAGCTCTTTCTTTAATGATGATAAGAGGTTAAAGAGAAATAATTTGGGTACAAGAATGCACAGTGAGTTCGTATAAGCATCGTTCTGAATGGAAACCCTAAAAAAGTACGTGGAGCAATTAGCCGTCTCGGCGTGTCTGTTTATCGTCCGCCACGACTAGCTGCAGATTCCACGTTTATCTAGAGTCTTGTCTCCAGAAGCATCTCTTTACTTCCCAACCGCCTATTCGATTTCCTGTCTGGCGATATGATTGTCAAGTGTGAAGAAAAGGTGACAACCATCATTTGGAGAAATGCCTGGAGGAAGGGGATAAGTTTGCGCTAGTAAGTCTCTCCCTTCCTCCCATTACAGTTGGTAGACCAAATTGTGCAGTTTATGCAAAGGGTGAAGGAGGTTTCATTCTTTCATGCACTACCAAAAAATATGTTGGTGAGTTGTCTTAGCCTTCTCTGTCCCGTTGCCACTGCTTCCATCATAGTCCTTTGCCTCGTGACTCCGTTGTCGGATGCATCGAAATATTTAATCACGTGCCCACATGACAGGGACAAGAGGACATGCGTATGACAGTTTTCAGTAGATAATGCATGTTTCGAGTAAACTGCCAACTAACGGTAGGATAGGGGTAGCTGAAAAACATGCGGCCACCTGCCTCAAACCTGTCTGACCCCATTCTGTACCACTAAGATGGCCATTTGACAAACGTGTCAAATACGGCCTAGGGGGATTGCATCAACCGTGGACTATACACACCGAGTAGGGTGCACTTTAGGGTTCTACCAGATGCATGATGTTCCCTTGGCTTGACCGTGTCCATTCCGGTGGGCATTCATTCCGCATGTGGGACGCCAACTGAATCATTACACCTTTCATCAAGATCAAATCACAAAACAAAGAATTCGTTGACATCTGCTGCTGTCTCCGAGGTATGAATCAACTTGAGGAGTCAATAGTCTGTTGAAGTGGTAGAGCAGGTAATCGCGTTGATTCTTACCTCCACTGGAAATGTGCTTTATGCCTAAGCCGTCCAAAAACGTTGAAGTTTTTCAATAAGTCTACGATACCATTAAAGATCAGGGGAAAGTGATGAGCTTCATTACCTTAAAACACAGAATTTAATTTTTTTTTAAGATCGGGACAATGGATAGTATGCGTTTAACATATCTGATAGCAAGGGCTGCATTCAAATAGATCCACGCGGTAAAGTGAATGACGAAAGTTTTACGTTGACGTGGTGACTGCATAGTCAGCCGAGTCGATTTGCACACATTCACCAGCTTATTCATCTTCGACAGCGTGGCTATCGTCACTCATGCAATATCAATAACCTCTCTCCGTCTGGATTGCCCTCATCTTCCAGTCACCCACTCACTCACTCATTCATTCACTCTCCTGATCACTGAATTCTGCATTAAAGTAGCCCTTCACATATTACTGTTAGCAATAAAATAGCTCATTGCGATTAGTCCGCTGAAATAACCGATTTCAGTAGGTACATATGAGTTAATTGTTGTTAACTGCGAGACCTCGTTCGTATGCACAGATGGAACTTGTTCCACACGGTATGGACCTCCAACTACGTCAAACAGCCTCTTAGTCCCTCTGTAGGTTAGATGTAAGCCCATTCCAGACTGAAAAGACTTAGAGTTATAAGTTGTTGGTAGTATCATGCGAATCCGGCACAAAAAGGACAGGTGTCATCCTTCCTTTGGCCGACCATTTAACTTCAACTTTGCGGAATGCGTGCACATTAACTAAGGAATTGCTATCGCAGTCCCGTACACTTTTTTCATTCACCCCTCTTGCGTGTTCTACAAGGAAATTAGCAAGTGACGAGAAACCACACCATTATGACAGCGCTTAGTGTACTTATATAAAGATGTATGAATAGAATCAGCACAGATGTCTTAACAGCAGTGAAGTGGGACCAGAGTGGCAAAAAGGGGTGGAAACAAATTAGCCACTCCAAAAAGGGCATGCTTGATTGGCATTTGACATTTGTATTTGTGGTGAAGCATGGGCTAGACTCGAACGTTGTAGACCAGCGAGTTTTTCCCCCTCCCTCTCCCCTTCTCATTCAGTTCACAAAAGGCAAAAAACCAATGCCCAAGAGAACGACCACCAGCCATCACTAGCAATGGAGTCAGTGTCTCGCGGATCGTTTCTAAAGTATCGACTACATTATGAGTGGGATGAAATTTAAGCGAAACAGTAGGTCACGTGGTGACCCTATGCCTTTAACCATGCAGGCACATCAGTCTCCACACGTTGCGCCAAGTTCTTAGGCCGGTATGACCAGCAGTCTACAAAGAAAAGATTTTTGAGAATACTTGGGGCGCTACAGTTGTGGTACCAATAAGAAAAACCTCCGACCGAATAAAGGCATCTCCCGTGGATTGCTGAATCTGTGGTCACTCATCACACAAGGATTAAAGCGATGACATTGGATACCACGCTTTATATCGTCTTCTAGAGAGCACCTTGATGCGGATGTTACCAGGCCGGAGAACATCGTCAAGAACCTAGTACGACTGCCCAAGTGGATTATTTCTCGATACAAATCGCCTTGTTCAGACCTCACTACCCCCAAAAATGACCACTCACCTCTTTGGCAGAGAAGTTCACACCAGGACGATGGGAACGAGCATTTCGGCGTCACTTCCCGACCACGCCTACTAGCCTCCTAGACCCTCCATAATAGGCCAATTTTTGAACCAGCAAACAGCCAATTATTTTAAGGAAAAAAATTAATTCTTCCGGAAATATTTTAGGTTTGAAAGATTGAAAGGTACTCGAATAAGTAGTTAAATGCTTGAACCTGTTTTTTTCCCGTCTCCTCCTCCGCTTTGATTTGCAGAGAACTCGAAATTCCCACTTTTGTTTATTCACGTAAATTTCACATAAATTACTCAACCATTTCTCTATTTTTGTTTGGAATGCAAAAAAATAATATTGTGATCTTTCTGTGAAGGAAGATGACTTACTTTCAGCACACACTCGTCAGAATGTGGTATTTTCAAGGTCCTCTTGAATCCCCAGACCACCCTCCAATCGATGACAGATGGTCAGCTTGTCACTTAGTAGTGTCCAAAGTAAGAGACGCAATTATCGGATGAAGATTTGTAAATTGCACAGCCACGTTCGATGGGACATATTTAATTGAGAAAGGGACAATTTTTGACGTGGTTTGGTAAGTATTTTGGAGGGTGGAATGGGGGGGGGGGAGGGAGTGACAAAGCAGTCCTGGCTGCCTCCCTAGTGAATAATGCATGCACGAGGGGTTAATCAAAGCCAAGGCTTTTAATTAGGCCCGGCTACAGCTCATCTTCCTCCTCCTCCTTCGCCTGCTGCTCTTCCATCCTCTACGCTTCATCGGTTGCGTGCATCGGCACTGCTCGAAGCGCATCCATTATGGATGAGTTGAAGTAAAAAAGGAGAGGCATATGGACACGTGGCTCTCAGCCCACAATACCATTTGACAAAAAGCAACTCGTTTGAGGGATTCGGGGAGGCACAACGATTCGTCTTAATGGTATTCCGCTGTCACGCAGACCCCTACTCATTGTTGCACCACGATTAAGGGAGAGAGATGCTTGTATCAAAGAGAAGGACGCTGCCTCATTAAAGCAGTGCTAAATCAGCATGAGGGTGCACCAACAGCAAGTTGTTCATGCGTTTCGGGTTCAACCTATTTCAAAATTTAGGGTCAATAAACAAGAGAGGAAGAGGGAGGTTGGAGGGGTGGATAGGAGTCCTCAATAGCCACCACGAAAACAGGTGGATAATTAAGTCCTTGCATTTAGTTTAGGAAGTATACCACATTGGATGAGCCTCCTCCGAACACCCAACGCTTGGCCCTTGTCCAATTTTAATAATCGAATCTAAATTTTTTGATGATGAATCTCACAGTAAATTGGCAAATATCATAAAATGAAGAACTTTGTTTTTCACATGGTGCATAAGATGTATTTGGCAGTCAAAATTGCCATTTGTGTCAAAGAAATCATTTCATTGAAAAATTTGTTGATTCATTGTTGATCTAAAGGTGAATGTGGCCTTGACCTCATGTGCACAAAGCTCCTGTTTATCTTTCGTTAGGGTAATGCTCACGACTTTTTAGACAATCGACTATTCTAAAATATTTAATGAACTTATTTTTACGAAAATCTGACATTTCTGATGTATAGGTCCAAAAGGGTGATGGTCGAACATTTGGCGACCGGTATTTTTACTTTTATTAAGGGGCTTAATGAATTAGACAATGGCAGATGAATACCTGAGGCGTTTAAGTGGCCACCTTAGTGTCGGGGTGGTGGCAGTCAGCACACCCAGTTGAGTGAATACTTTGATTTATCACTTTTCGTTACCACAGCTACACATAACCTTCTGGCTTTTAAAACCGCAAAATATACCCGGGACATTCTCATTCATATCCCTCAATAGGAGGCAACTGCCACTACCGCTCCCTTTGTTACTTCATCGTGAAAATGGGTGACTTACTAAACAGCTGTTTAAAATTACTTGGCACCTAACACCGCCTTTTGTTTTTTTTTTTCTTGGCACCTTCTACCTTTAGACATTTGAGATCGGATAGGTGGCGAGACTTAAACTACTAGTCTAACAGTTGCTTTTACTAATATATTTGGTATTTTCAAAACAACAAAAATAACGCATACAATATCTAAATCCACTGATAAATTTTCTACAAAAAATCGGGTGTATTTTGCGCAAAAATTAGCATCGAAACAATTTTTGAGGGGTATTCAGAATAGGAGTATCGATTTCTGTGTCACTCCAAACGCCACCGATCGATAAATCAATTAAGTAGAAGAATAGAGACATTCAAAGTCCTTTATTTGCATACTTTCATTATTTAGCCACAGATTAAAAGGAGAGGCGTTTTGATGTGCAATTTAGCAGTGAAGACCTCACATTTGCAAAGCACCCCTGTGGAAAGCTGCCTCGCCTGATCATCTGTCGTTTCCGCAGCCACGCATACATAAGCACCAATCGAATCCACTGCTGTCTAATACTTTCCGGTGTAGCGGGAAGCTAAGCAGACCAGGCAAACGTGTGTAAAATCGCTCGCTGTAGCATATTTACGGGTGGTTATTCACCATCCCTCCCAAGCCACCCACCCATTCACTCATCCATTCATTCCCCCGCTCACTCACTCATGCACACGTACGCACGCATGCACTCAACACTACTTGCGCACAGGGTTACGAGACAAACTTCCGGCCTGTGGGGCATTGTAGAGCTCTCAAATCCTTCTCCACCGTCAACCGCTGCTACAAGCATCTATCACACACTCCACCCCTTTATCTCATGGGCAGGTAAGTTCTGAATGTAGGATAACGCGCTCCCGCTCTGAGCATATAATGTACTGTTTGTGGTCACATCCTGCCAGCATCAGTAGTAGTTACAACAGGGGTGGAAAAAGTTACAGTTCGGAGTTGGGTGGTGTATAAGCTGTACTCGCAACACACGCACTCAAACTCACGCTCACGGGCGCGTGTCCCCTGTTCCACTGTGCATCTGAAAGCGGGCGTGCCCGGAAGTCAGAGTATCCCTCTCTCTGCCCCTCGCCTCTCCCTCCCCCACCCCCCGGTTCTCCTCTCGAGCTCGAGGGAGAACGACGTATAAGCGACCGGATATCGTCCCGTGTGCGCGCGTGTGCACAAGTGCAGTGGGGGAGCATAGGGAAGGGATACAGTTGCTAACGGAAACGGCTGCGATGGCGATGAATGTGTGTGTGTGTATGTGTTTATGCGAGAGAGAGGGAAGGGGAGAAGAAGAAAAGGCTAGCCAGTTCGGTCTACTGCACGGTAACTTGTCATCAGATAGTGAAGTACTGGTAGGAGGCGTGGTCACGGATTTTAGCCACTAAAAAAGGGACCTAGTTAATCGCATCCAGTCTACTACCACTCCACGACAACTGTGGAATTTTAAAAGGTGGGTAAAATTGGTTGGCAGGCTGAAGCTGTCAGTCAGTAATTTTCCAGTGGTGACTGCCTGGAAGGCCTTAATTTATGGTACCCAAATGGTGATGAATTAAGTAGTCAGTGACAAGGCAATTCATTTTGAGGGACTGTAATGCACCAAGTTGTTGGTTGGTCGTGACTTGAGTGACTAATTCACCGGCAGAGTCAAGCGGTTGATAAGCCCCATTTCTGGTGCTGGGTTCCGTTGCCGCCATTCAAACCTACTGCAAACTCTCTGCAAAATATCTTCCTTTGAAACGGAGTTAAACCTGGTTTGTAAACAGACACCCTCAAGTCCCATCCAGCAAGTTTGTTCAGCCATTATTTTATGGTAGATAGATGGGCAAGTAGGCAGGTAAGTTAGGCAGACAGTTAGATAGATGGACAGGTAGGTAATGCCTCCCCTCATCTTGACCAAAGCTTGACGGAACAACAGGTTAAAATCAGAGCAGCCAAAAGGTTACTCAATCATGGGTTCCATCTGTCGTCTACTCGTGGATCAAGTCATGCTTTAATGAAACACATAGGGACTTCTTTGAGTGACTTTCATGATCTCTAGCTTGAGCAATGTCTTCGCTGTGTACATGCAGATGGCTACGTTGAGTTCGAGGACCTGGGAAACACTGCTGATACTGTTGCCCCCTTTTTTACCACGAAGGAAGTACTCTCTGACAAAGGCGGTGGAATATTTTCAGTCTCGATAGTCAAAATAAGAGGCAGTCCCAAAGTTCACTTCGGTTGGCGGTTAAGATTAGAAATCGGCAATCATATATGAAGTTAAGATCCTTAATAAATATCTTTCGTCAAGTAAAACGATGAAGGCTAACTATCACCAGGTGCCAGAGCAGGTGTTTTATCCATATTTATCTCATGGTGGATGAAAAGCCAGAAAAACTGGGGACGTTTTGCAATAAACGAGTGCAACATTTGCTGGGAGGAGTGAGATGCATCCATAGCTCAATACAATACTTGAAGCGCAGTTTGAAGTTGATGATGGTTAAAACGAGTTTCACGGAGGAGGACAGAGGAGGAGGAATGAACTACCTTCCATCTGGCCCATTTAAAGTGAAATTCCACATTTCCTCCTCAGTTGGATGTCGTTGATTTCAGGTGATTAAAAAATCTGTCATCCAAAAGCGAGATCTGAAAGCAGTGTTTTGAAGTGCAAAAACCAGTATGAAACACCTCTTTAGTGACGCTGTAAGGTAACCAAGTAAATCTACGTGGTTTCTTATAAAAAAATAAGAAAAAGAGACACAACAAGGTGTTCTTCCTGAAACTTTTT